CTTTATCGTCTTTGGCAACAGACTATGCATGAGGAGTTTTCTGCGTTACATAAGACTCGAGCTTAGGAGTCGGTGCCTTTACCTCCTGGTAAATGTCTCATTGGTTGTAAATGGGTGTATAAAATCAAAACCCAATCTGATGGTTCTGTGGAAAGGTACAAGGCTAGATTAGNCGATCTTCTACTGAAGCTGATTATCGTGCTATGACATCTACCACAACTAAGATAGTTTGGTTGCGTTGGTTGCTTGCTGATCTTGGCATCTCCTTAACTACTCCTACTCCTATGTATTGTAATAACACCAGTGCTATCCAGATCGCTCACAACTCGGTGTTTCATGAACGCACCAAACATATAGAGATTGATTGTCACTTTGTGCGCCATCATCTTCCGTTGGGCACGATCTCTCTCCTATATCTTCCTTCTACTATGCAGTTGACAAATTTCTTCACCAAATCTCACACTATCGCACGCTTTTGTTTTCTCCTTGGCAAACTCTTGATGTTAGAGTAATCTAGCACATTAACATTAGGGGTAGATTAGTCTTTTATATTACTATGTTTTGCCTTAGTATATAAGTCCATTATTGTGTAGTTTGTCTTCTCTAAGAGACTGTAATACAGACCTGGTTATTGTTAATGAATATCTTTTCCTCTTTCATTGATAAACCTTAACAAAAAGTTCTAACAACACTTTTTTTTAAGTCATGCCAAACACACTCATAACATTTTGGGCACTTTCTAATGCCTATTTTATCTAATAATGATCTTCGGTGCATCAAATATTGAAGCCATCGTTGGATAAAACGTAAACATAAACGGACCACGTGTTATATTTTTAGGTGCGACATAAGAAAGTGCCACTAGCTGATGAGGAGCTATCATAGTACAAGAGCGATAGGATTGTAGGTGTTGGATTATGCTTAAGATCAACATTGAATTGCTTCATTTTATACTTAGGAAATTGGCATGTTAATAACTAATACATGTTTGATTTGGTTANGAAGAGGAAAAAGTGACAGGAAGTGTCGGAAGATTCAGAGATTGAAAAGGCAGTTTCGATGTTGAGACAAGACAAGCAGAGTGGCCGTTGATTGTATTTGGTAAGGGCGCTGCCATTGCTAGAGCAGAGAATGAGCTTTAGAAGTTAGTCAAAAGCACTGGAATTCCATTTTTGCCAACTCTAATGGGAAAGGGTTTGTTGCCTGATACACGTGAGCTAGCTGCAACGGGTGCAAAGTCATTGACGATTGGGAAATGTGATGTTGCATTGGAGCTTGGTGCAAGGCTGAATTGGTTGTTGCATTTAGGGAAACCTCCAAAGTTGTCCAAAGATGTGAATTTTTTATTAGTTGATATATATAATGAAGAGATTGACTTAAGGATGCCAAATGTGGGATTTTGTTGGGGATGCGNCAGTCTCCTCTTGGGGGGGCTTCAGCTATCAATTCTTACATTCATTATCCAGTCTTGGGATTCGAAGAAAATAAATAATGTTGGATCTTGATGTTTTGAGGAGATTAATCATTTTAATATCACACATCAAAATGATCAAGGTTTATACAAATGATTTTTTAATTCGTCTTACACTTTATAAAATTCGTGTCCATATTTTTGTATTTGTGTCTTTGTGTGATAGTTTGAGATTCTATTTGATTATTGAGAAAGTTTAGGGATATAAAAAGTATTGAAACTTTGAAGTTATGTATATTATGTTATTTGTTTTTTTGGATAAATGAAGGGGATTTTTTTTTTCTTTTTAGTTAGCAACAAGTCATTTCGACACTTTGTCAATTGAGATAAAATATGTTAGTTGAGAAAAATTGTTCATTCTTGCAATACTTTTTCACACTATCACTAGCTCTCCCAGGAGTATAACTATCACGTGACAATAATGAATGAATAGAAACACCAAATGTTCCTTAATTCTGAAATTGAAAAAAGGAGTAAAATTGAAACTTATAGGAAATACAACATGCTGAATGCATAAATATATTCATTATGGCCAACAACCCCATGACTCAATGGAATATTAGCTCCCGTCGGCAACCATGGAACCAATTTGAGCAAATGAAATCTAAAATTGATATTAAGCAAAATCACACTATAAGAAAGGTAAGTTCATTTGGATAATGAAAGAATGTATGGTGCGAAATTGGAGTGACAAGGATGCATTTAAGGGTTGATGGAAGTTTCTTACTACCAAGCAAAGTCTAAAAAATCAGAGATGGTCCAAGAGGATGATAAAGTAAGGATTACAATTTTTTTTTCAGGCGTAAAAGACTTATTAAATCTTAATTGGATCGGAGAAGAAATAGCANGAAAGTGCCACTAGCTGATGAGGAGCTATCATAGTACAAGAGCGATAGGATTGTAGGTGTTGGATTATGCTTAAGATCAACATTGAATTGCTTCATTTTATACTTAGGAAATTGGCATGTTAATAACTAATACATGTTTGATTTGGTTATAGAATGTTAGTCTCCTCTTGGGGGGGCTTCAGCTATCAATTCTTACATTTCATTATCCAGTCTTGGGATTCGAAGAAAATAAATAATGTTTGATCTTGATGTTTTGAGGAGATTAATCATTTTAATATCACACATCAAAATGATCAAGGTTTATACAAATGATTTTTTAATTCGTCTTACACTTTATAAAATTCGTGTCCATATTTTTGTATTTGTGTCTTTGTGTGATAGTTTGAGATTCTATTTGATTATTGAGAAAGTTTAGGGATATAAAAAGTATTGAAACTTTGAAGTTATGTATATTATGTTATTTGTTTTTTTGGATAAAGGAAGGGGATTTTTTTTTTCTTTTTAGTTAGCAACAAGTCATTTCGACACTTTGTCAATTGAGATAAAATATGTTAGTTGAGAAAAATTGTTCATTCTTGCAATACTTTTTCACACTATCACTAGCTCTCCCAGGAGTATAACTATCACGTGACAATAATGAATGAATAGAAACACCAAATGTTCCTTCATTCTGAAATTGAAAAAAGGAGTAAAATTGAAACTTATAGGAAATACAACATGTTGAATGCATAAATATATTCATTATGGCCAACAACCCCATAACTCAATGGAATATTAGCTCCCGTCGGCAACCATGGAACCAATTTGAGCAAATGAAATCTAAAATTGATATTAAGCAAAATCACACTATAAGAAAGGTAAGTTCATTTGGATAATGAAAGAATGTATGGTGCGAAACTGGAGTGACAAGGATGCATTTAAGGGTTGATGGAAGTTTCTTACTACCAAGCAAAGTCTAAAATATCAGAGATGGTCCAAGAGGATGATAAAGTAAGGATTACAATTTTTTTTTCAGGCGTAAAAGACTTATTAAATCTTAATTGGATCGGAGAAGAAATAGCACAGAAACAACTCCATTAAAATAATTATTTTCATGGTTCAAAGTTTTTTTATCTTGGTTTTTCATTATGTGAGTGTTTGAAGAACATTTTGGTGAGCTTTCTTTCGATATTTGATACTCAAAATAATTCATGCACAATGCATGTGTGCATCAATTAGTATTATTAAAAATAAAATTTCAAAATACTAGAAATTAGGATTTGTGAAATAGAGGCCTGTGAGGAAATGTAGATACATCTCTTTATAGTACAGAGATATCTTATGTACGTAGGTTAATTAATAAAATTTCTCATACTGAATATATCTAGCCCACACACACCCTCGAATATACCTGATTGTAATATTATATAGATATATATTCACAAATACACACTTTTGAAGGACCCTCTATCAAAATTTCAGCGGTAACTCTCCTAGCCTAAGACGTTTCTTCTTTTGTGCAGAACGCTTCCCTTCAACGCCTCTGCCAAAAACACCCATGACTTCAAAGATTTTCAAGTAATTTTCTTCCTTTTTCATCTTGTATTTTCTTCATTTTCACCTAATTTTTCGTATTTTGAGCTCGTCCCGATTTCTCCATCATCGGCGGCAACAAATTCATAGGATTTTATTTTATTTTTTATGCAAAGCTAACAAAAAATCAAGCACAAACTGAGTTGAGACTTGGGATGAGAGATTTGGGGTCAAGGGCACCGATGGTGCATTGGCTGCAGAGAGATGTGAGTTTATTGAACTAATTTATACCAATTCAAATTTGAGTAAATTGACTCACTCACCATCGGGTGAAATTTGGTATCTTAAATTTGGGTACAAAACTCTATACGTCAGTTCACCTCTAAACGATACCCTTCTTTCTTCGATGGCAGTCACCGACTCCGATCACAAAACCCGAATCAATGGCAATTCCTAAGTAGCCATTTCCTTGGAAGGTGTCGGCGTGGATCGCATGTTTGGCGTCGTTGGAATCCTAGTCATCTCCCTCGCCAACCGCTCTGTCCCCCTTTGAATCCGATTCATCGCCTTACACAACGAGCAATCAATCATACGGGTACGCCGCCCCAACATATGGGTACCTCACCGGTCGGCTGGGAATCCTCCTTAGCGTCTCTAGCACTGTTGCGTCCATGGCCTTGCGGGTCTTTCCAACGCCACCGTTAACTCCTGGCCCATGGTCATCATCTCTGACTCCTGCAATTAAAAAGACTCCGACCGCGATGATTTTCAAGAACTCGATCAAATCGCATCAGTTAAACCCTTCTCGAGATTTGCCACAAAAGCCATGATATTAAACTTATCCCTAATTGTATTTTCGAAGTTATTCACTGGGCCAAATGGGGCCGACTTGGTGGGTGTTACTTGGACTTACCCTCTGATGTGCTTCACCAAAATTGAATTGGAGGCTGATAAATTGATAACTGATGCTCAGAAATGTAGAAAGGAAGAGGAAAAAGTGACAGGAAGTGTCGGAAGATTCAGAGATTGAAAAGGCAGTTTCGATGTTGAGACAAGACAAGCAGAGTGGCCGTTGATTGTATTTGGTAAGGGCGCTGCCATTGCTAGAGCAGAGAATGAGCTTTAGAAGTTAGTCAAAAGCACTGGAATTCCATTTTTGCCAACTCTAATGGGAAAGGGTTTGTTGCCTGATACACGTGAGCTAGCTGCAACGGGTGCAAAGTCATTGACGATTGGGAAATGTGATGTTGCATTGGAGCTTGGTGCAAGGCTGAATTGGTTGTTGCATTTAGGGAAACCTCCAAAGTTGTCCAAAGATGTGAATTTTTTATTAGTTGATATATATAATGAAGAGATTGACTTAAGGATGCCAAATGTGGGATTTTGTTGGGGATGCGAAAAGGGTTTTAGAATGATTCATAAGGAGATTAATAATAAAGCTTTTTGTTTGGGGAAGAATCATCCTTGGGTTGAGGCGATAGTGAAGAGGCAAAGGAAAATGTGTCAAGAATGGAGGCACAATTGGCTAAGGATGTTCGGCCATTTAATTTTATGACACCAATGAGGATAATTAGGGATGCGATTTTGGTGTCTAAGGGGGCGAACACAATCAATGTTGGTCGGGTTGTGTTGATTCAGACGGAGCCGAGGAGTAGGTTGGATGTTGAGACTCGGGGGACAATGGAGATGGTCTGAGATATTGCATTGCTGCGGCAGTAGCTTCACCTGGTCGGCTTGTGGTTTCTATTGAAGGGGACTCTGGATTTGGGTTTAGTGCCATGGAAGTTAAGGTTTGTTCCCTTGCCAAATATTATTGTTGATTTAGTGCTAATTGATAACTGAACACTCGTGGACTTTGCCTTATTCGTTCAATTATGAATGAACATAATGCTGACGCTGAAGTTGAAAAGTTTATCTTCTAGATGATTTCATATGGATTTAGCTGGAATATTGTGTATTTAGATGAACGGAAAAGTGTGTATTTTTTAAGTATACTTTTTTTCGTTCTTTCAACTGGTTTTGATTTTGTATAGGCACCTTCTAGCTAGTTTGGGGAGTCAAAATTATTTTTGAAGGCTTCAGTTAAGAAGAAACAATATGCAGAATCTAAACATCTTANGAGAGATTTGGGGTCAAGGGCACCGATGGTGCATTGGCTGCAGAGAGATGTGAGTTTATTGAACTAATTTATACCAATTCAAATTTGAGTAAATTGACTCACTCAGCATCGGGTGAAATTTGGTATCTTAAATTTGGGTACAAAACTCTATACGTCAGTTCACCTCTAAACGATACACTTCTTTCTTCGATGGCAGTCACCGACTCCGATCACAAAACCCGAATCAATGGCAATTCCTAAGTAGCCATTTCCTTGGAAGGTGTCGGCGTGGATCGCATGNCCATCGGGTGAAATTTGGTATCTTAAATTTGGGTACAAAACTCTATACGTCAGTTCACCTCTAAACGATACCCTTCTTTCTTCGATGGCAGTCACCGACTCCGATCACAAAACCCGAATCAATGGCAATTCCTAAGTAGCCATTTCCTTGGAAGGTGTCGGCGTGGATCGCATGTTTGGCGTCGTTGGAATCCTAGTCATCTCCCTCGCCAACCGCTCTATCCCCCTTTGAATCCGATTCATCGCCTTACACAACGAGCAATCAATCATACGGGTACGCCGCCCCAACATATGGGTACCTCACCGGTCGGCTGGGAATCCTCCTTAGCGTCTCCAGCACTGTTGCGTCCATGGCCTTGCGGGTCTTTCCAACGCCACCGTTAACTCCTGGCCCATGGTCATCATCTCTGACTCCTGCAATTAAAAAGACTCCGACCGCGATGATTTTCAAGAACTCGATCAAATCGCATCAGTTAAACCCTTCTCGAGATTTGCCACAAAAGCCATGATATTAAACTTATCCCTAATTGTATTTTCGAAGTTATTCACTGGGCCAAATGGGGCCGACTTGGTGGGTGTTACTTGGACTTACCCTCTGATGTGCTTCACCAAAATTGAATTGGAGGCTGATAAATTGATAACTGATGCTCAGAAATGTAGAAAGGAAGAGGAAAAAGTGACAGGAAGTGTCGGAAGATTCAGAGATTGAAAAGGCAGTTTCGATGTTGAGACAAGACAAGCAGAGAGGCCGTTGATTGTATTTGGTAAGGGCGCTGCCATTGCTAGAGCAGAGAATGAGCTTTAGAAGTTAGTCAAAAGCACTGGAATTCCATTTTTGCCAACTCTAATGGGAAAGGGTTTGTTGCCTGATACACGTGAGCTAGCTGCAACGGGTGCAAAGTCATTGACGATTGGGAAATGTGATGTTGCATTGGAGCTTGGTGCAAGGCTGAATTGGTTGTTGCATTTAGGGAAACCTCCAAAGTTGTCCAAAGATGTGAATTTTTTATTAGTTGATATATATAATGAAGAGATTGACTTAAGGATGCCAAATGTGGGATTTTGTTGGGGATGCGAAAAGGGTTTTAGAATGATTCATAAGGAGATTAATAATAAAGCTTTTTGTTTGGGGAAGAATCATCCTTGGGTTGAGGCGATAGTGAAGAGGCAAAGGAAAATGTGTCAAGAATGGAGGCACAATTGGCTAAGGATGTTCGGCCATTTAATTTTATGACACCAATGAGGATAATTAGGGATGCGATTTTGGTGTCTAAGGGGGCGAACACAATCAATGTTGGTCGGGTTGTGTTGATTCAGACGGAGCCGAGGAGTAGGTTGGATGTTGAGACTCGGGGGACAATGGAGATGGTCTGAGATATTGCATTGCTGCGGCAGTAGCTTCACCTGGTCGGCTTGTGGTTTCTATTGAAGGGGACTCTGGATTTGGGTTTAGTGCCATGGAAGTTAAGGTTTGTTCCCTTGCCAAATATTATTGTTGATTTAGTGCTAATTGATAACTGAACACTCGTGGACTTTGCCTTATTCGTTCAATTATGAATGAACATAATGCTGACGCTGAAGTTGAAAAGTTTATCTTCTAGATGATTTCATATGGATTTAGCTGGAATATTGTGTATTTAGATGAACGGAAAAGTGTGTATTTTTTAAGTATACTTTTTTTCGTTCTTTCAACTGGTTTTGATTTTGTATAGGCACCTTCTAGCTCGTTTGGGGAGTCACAATTATTTTTGAAGGCTTCAGTTAAGAAGAAACAATATGCAGAATCTAAACATCTTACCTATAAGGGATAGCAAATGATATTCTAGTTGCCAGAAACTCACCAGTCCTCGACTTTGCTAGAGGCGGGAGCATTGTACACAAGACCTTTTAATTCTTATTGCTTGCACAAAAGCATGTTGTGATGGGCCACAAGTTTGAAAACAGAGAATGCACATTTTATTGTTCAAGGTTTAAATTGTTTGTATTTTTTTATTATTAATAATAGGTTTTGAGGGTAGAGCGCATATTTAGTTGTCATCACTTATAATCAGAATATGTTGCTTGCACAACATTCTCCTATGTTTTATAACTAGGGGTAGCCTATGTCTGAAGGTACGATGCAACGTAAACCTAGATTCTTGAGAGGGATGTAGGTGGTAGTTGGATGAGTCTATTTGAGACCGTTGGATGAACTTATTAAAGTCTACACTATTTTATATTTTAGATTATAGATACCCTATTGATTGGTGCCTATTGATCTAAGGAATAGATATGGTTACTGTTCTACAATAGACAAGTCTCATACAATTACTATCAATTTTTCTTTTGTCATGCAGCAGCTGTAATAGAATGTCGAATTATTTGAAGCCACTTAACTGGGTGAATTTCTTTTTGGCCCATGATTTGAGTTGTCCATAAGATCCTACATAGTTCACTTAACATTTCGAAGACTATGAAAAAAATCACCTTCACCTTTATCTAAAAAGTCACCTTTGTGAACCTTGTTTGTGGTATTTATGGTCACTGATCATGGCAAATTCTGTTCCTATCCAAACTAGGTGGCAACAGACATGGTTTGACTGCCAGACATAATCAATGATCACTACTTGCTTCAAATGCTTGTGATACGATATGGGGAAGTATTTTTTGATCTTTGCTACCCATGGAGTCCTGTCCCAATGGGGAATCACACCTTGCCTTACCACTTGGAACTTGCGTTTCCAGCGAAGTATTTCTGCAACCAACTAAACAACGCCTGATATTGATATCCATGGATGTAGAAATATTATAGGTCTAGCCTTTCATTTTGTTCAACATCAATTGACTTTATTGGCCTTTTGGGTTCAATAGTATGGAATGTCGCTTTGCTCTATGCTTTCACTCAGTTCAGTTTCCTCAATTATGGTTGTTATTTGATTAGTTATTTACTCAACTCTTAATTGGGATATATTGTTTTCCTGCCCCCTAAAAAAATAGAAAATTTCTTACAAGAATGTAGTACGGTGGAATTACCTGGTTTGCTTATCTTGTGATCACACTATTCTATACCTTAAGAGTAGTTGTTTTGTCCATGTGTTCTCCCAGAATGTAAATTCTTCAGACTTGTGAGACATTGCAATAGAAACTGTTTTGGCTGTTCTATTTTTGTAGAATCTTTTCACTTTTGGAAACAACAATTTAAAATAAATTGTATCTCTTCAAGGATGCATTTATTGGGTTTTTTCTTACTTTTGGCCCATAATGGAATCTGAACCACTTGTACCCAGAGAAAGTATTACATGAGAATTTCATTTCTGCCTTATACCACCTTGCTATGTGTCTCGATTTTCAAATTTGTTGGGTTGCTAGGCAATACCTGTGATTCTATTTGTCTTAGTACCCTATGAAGCACGGACACGGATACGAGACACTGATACGATACCACACGGACACGTCGACACAAATTTTAAAAAAAAAGTAGGATGTAGACACATTGGTGATACGTAAATAATATGTATTTATATATATAATCATGTGATAAAATAAAAATAGTTACTGATAATCATCAATTTTAAAAAGCCTCAATTTTATAACCCCATTTTTTTCACATTAATTTCATACTAAAAGTTTATTCCACTTGTATATAAGTTCGTATTTGTATCCAAAATTATGTTACATTCATGTCTTATATTCAATGTAATCATTATAACTTCTTTTATATTATGATTGTGACACATATTCCTTTAAAATTTTAAAAAATAACTTTTAATTATAAAATTATTTGAAAAAGTTCTCAAAAAATTAAAAAGATATCTCTAAATATGTCCCACAACATGTCGGCCACGTGTCCTGAGTGTGTCTCCAACGTGTCTTAAGCATGTTGGTCGCATGTCTCCGACGTGTTCTAAAAAAAATTAATAATAAAAAAATTAAACACTCATTTTAACTTGTTTAGAACGTGTCATTGTCCCAGACGTGTTTGACATCGGCACTATACGCAAAATGAAGTGCATGTGGTTCCTAGTAATAGTACCCCATCCGTGGTTCAAAGTATTAGCCCTCCGAACATGCCATGTGAATATCACGAGTATCACCTAAATTGGGGGTGACTCGGTTACAACTATGTTGTATCGTTCTGACTTGGAGTTATATCTGTATGAATCGAACGTTCACACCAGACTCAGATCGATTGTTGAGGTCTTCGACAAAATCCACAAAATCTCAGATAAAGTGCAAATGGCCAAAGAAAAAGGGAAAATGAGAAGAAAAGGATGCCCACATGAAAATCTGAAATTTTTCAACCCATAGACCGCAAAAATCACCGGCAAATTCACTCCATTGGAAGACAACGGAGTTAACAAATTGTAAGGCAAACTTCTTTGTGCAGAAGGTAATAAGTACCAGGCAACAGTGGTCTAGATCCCGCCTTCCCGGCAATTGGCTACGACTTAGAGCCTCTGATTGCATCGTCGGAGATGATTAATTTTGCAGGTGATCTCTTCCCCCCCCCCCTCTCTCTCTGTGACGATTTGTCTTTCAAGTCTCTCTCTCTGGTAGACGAGCGACCAGTCCCAGAAGAGTCAAAGGACACTCTATTTGTGCTTTTAAAGGCTATCTTTCTATTGTTTTTTTTGTCATCATTCTTTTTAAAGGCTATATTTCTTTTGTAGTTTTGNGTTGCCCCTATGTACATGAGCTAGCTGCATCAGTGGCGAGGTCACTAGCGATGGGGAAATGTGATGTTGCTTTGGTGCTTGGTGCAAGACTTAATTGGTTGTTGCATTTTGGCGAACCTCTAAAGTGGNAAAGGCTATCTTTCTATTGTTTTTTTTGTCATCATTCTTTTTAAAGGCTATATTTCTTTTGTAGTTTTGTTATCTTTAAAACTGTCTCTAGAATTGTCTTTTAAAAAAAAAAAGAAAAGGTTTTGGGGATATTTGTATTTTTAATCCTTTTTGGATCCTTAAAAATAAANGGGCTAAGGATGTGAATTTTGTGTTAGTTGACATATGTAAGGAAGAGATTGACATGAGGAAGCTGAGTTTGGTTTGAGGATTGTAAAAGGGTTGTGGAAATGATTAATAAGGAGATTAATGTGACCTTTTAATTTGGGGAAGAATCATCCTTGGGTTGTGGCGATAGCGAAGAAGGCTAAGCAAAATGNGGATATTTGTATTTTTAATCCTTTTTGGATCCTTAAAAATAAAGGTAAAAATAATGTTAGATTTAGAGTTGAACTCGGACATTAGTTTAAATTTACATTTCTTTGTATTTTAAATTCAAAAAAATTTAAAAACTAAATACAAAATTACAAAAAATTAAATATAAACTCCTACTATAAATTTTGGCTCGATGCATTATTAAAACCTTACATTGAACACTTATGATTATAAATTTTTCTTGTAGCTCCCAAATAATTAATTTTTACCATGCTTACTGTATTAGGTGATATATTTTGAACAAAAAATGCATGGATGTTGTTAATATTTTTCAGATTTTTCCATGATTTTTTAGAATTTTTTGGGCCTTTTCTCTAGCATTTTGTGCATATTGGTTGATACCATGCTGCAACGCTGCGATGCAACGCCGCGAGGCCTGTGACTGATGTGTATTAATGTCCTCCGAGATGAGGACCGACACCGCGCCCTTGTGCTCTCACCCCTTTGGTTAGAACTTCGAACAAAGGGTTAGAGGAATGCCAATATTCACATTTGTTAGGGATCACCTACTCCTTGTAGCGTCCCGGCTGCCTTCTTTCAGTTAGTATGATTTATTATTTGATTATGAAGCACAGATACTTCGGTTAGGTCAAAAGTATCTATATCGGATATAATGCTCATCANTGATGTGTATTAATGTCCTCCGAGATTAGGACCGACACCACGCCCTTGTGCTCTCACCCCTTGGTTAGAACTTCGAACAAAGGGTTAGAGGAATGCCAATATTCACATTTGTTAGGGATCACCTACTCCTTGTAGCGTCCCGGCTGCCTTCTTTCAGTTAGTATGATTTATTATTTGATTATGAAGCACAGATACTTCGGTTAGGTCAAAAGTATCTATATCGGATATAATGCTCATCAGAGACCTTGTGAATCCTATCCTCTTACCGAGTATGCAGAAATGTCTTTCCCTCAGGCTCTATCCTGAGAATAGCAAAAAGAGGACGTAGACTCTCATACTCAAGTCAGTGCTGAGTCAAATAGCCATAGTAGTCATGACCTGTCATATCTCCCTCTCGAGCATATGATAACTTTTGAGAAAACTCATAAACATGAACTTCACAACTTGACTATGAATACATCTTTGATAATGCGCTCCATAGCTTTGGAATAGAGCTATGAAACTGATGAATCCTGCAAACAGATGGCTCCATAGAGCCAAATAACCATTCAAGAATAGCACAGTTCTCGGAGAACCATGCAGAATATCCAGGGTCGTCATTAACTGTCTTTGGGTGCGATCCTGTTAGCCAACCAAGCTTCCCAACA